TATTATTCTGGACTATAATTTTCCTATGAGAGAGCTGATCTTTACATATGTGTTAAGCTGGGTTTATCTGCCCCATACTTATTTCATATCTTTAAACTTTAAGTCTAACTTCTCATAGTTCCTAAGATTATGGATGGGAACTGATTTTATTATAGTTTTTGGAAAGCAGCCTCAAGAAGATGCAGATAGTAAAAGATTTTCATCTTACTGGAACTTCACAAAAGGATATTTTTATTTACTTTCAAATGGTATCTTTTTAAAAAACTAAAAAATAAAATCCGCCAAATGCAATGTATGTTAATTCATACAAGTTGGAAAACAGGGTGTACCTGATAGAAAAAGCAGTGAAACCAATTCAGGGCACATTTCCCAGCTGAAGAGGGGCTGGAACTACAGACTCAATTCTTTACTAGACTGCCAGCTACTGATGAATTTGACCCAGGCAGGTAACTGGCAGGTAGGAGCCTGGGAAGTATTATTCTGAATTCTCTGGTCCAGGTGCCTTGGAGTCTAAAGTTTATTCTTAGAGATGTCTTTTCCTCATGACATAATCTGTTTTTCAAAATTTCCCAGAGCAGATGGTTAAATTAATCTCTAATTCCTTTATTTCTTAGAATGATTTCTGCCCTGATGAGACTGACAAGGAGAAAGGAGTGAAAAACAGCTGATGAGAGGAAAGAGCCCCCCATGCTGGGGCTGGCCAAGTTTCTCCCAGCCAGATGCCCGGGAGATGCTGTCTCCCAGCATGGTCGCTTGCCTCAGTCATTCTGTATCCCCAAAATAGATGGTCCTTTATGAGAATTTATCTGAATTCCTAGTAGAAATTCTTACGGGCTGGTTACACTTCGCTTCCTGCCCAGGCATGCACAGATTACAGTTTCCTCTGGCCTCACTTGGAACCTTTGAAAAATATTCTATGCAGGAGAGTAGATGTGATAGTGATAAATGGTGTTGGTGCCCTTTTGGATCACACTTCATCTATTACAGTAAAACTTGGGTACACTCCACCCACAATAACAACACCAAATGTAATACAGTTGTCAATTAGCTCCCACCCTCATTTCAACACTTTTTCTTGGGGGGTGGACTCATTATAATACTTTATTTTGGGTGAGGGGATAGAAAGTGATTTCCTT